CCAACTTTCAATTTGTTTCATTGTTATTTCTAAAAAAGGAGTAGAAATTTCATACATTTATTCCCCTTAATGAATTTGAACAAAGCAAGAACTACAGTTTTAGCAGAATAAAGTGGTACGACCTTTTATTTCGTTGCCTTTTCGTCAGCTGCTTACAGGGCAAAGACATCATTAAATATATCTACAAAAACAATACAAGCTTGATTATAAAGGTGAAAACTGATAGGATCCCACACACTTTGTTATTGTTCAATTATCTTAACGACTGTTAATCTCGCATATGTGGTATATCATCATTCCCACGCATTTTGTTATTGACTGTTACGACCAATTATTTCAAATACTGTTAGCTGTCTCTATTGGTTGTAAAATTGTATAAATACCATTTCCTAAATAAGTTTATTTTTCGTCGTCGTTGTAGTCGTCGTAGTCGTAGTTGTTGTACTACAATACACAGTCAGAGACCAGACTTTGTCTTTTGATATTTACGTGGTTCGCTGAGTCGGAAGGTACCAGAAGCAGATAGGCATATTAGTCAGGCGCAGACAGAACTAGGCGACAACGTTCCTCATCTAATTCCGACCACAGTTATAACAAATAGGCGACGAGGTTTACTTTCATTCATTGCCGTTATAACAATTGGCGACGGGGTTTTACTTTAATTCACTGCAGTTATAACAAGCAAGCGACGACGGGTTTTATTCTGTTCAGCGCATCTATAGAACATTTTTGACTGTGTTAATTACAACCCAATTACAATGTCTATCTCTCTGGACGATCTCAAATCCATCTTGCAGCAGCAGCAACTTCAGAATGAAGCAGCTCAACTTAAATTAATCGAAGCTCTCACTCAGAAGCTGTCAATTCAAGTTCCATCAACATCTCATTCAGACAAATACGAAAGCATCTCAAATTCCATCAGTGAATTCAACTACGACCCAATATCTGGTCTCGTATTTGATGCATGGTTCAATCGTTATGAAGACGTTTTTCGTATTGAATGCAACATGTTTGATGATGCTGCCAAAGTCCGATTGTTACTACGAAAACTTGGTACTGTTGAGCACAACAGATATGTTAACTTCATTCTGCCTAAGAACCCACGTGAGTTATCATTCGATGAGACAGTCACCGTTTTGTCACAAATCTTTGGTGAACAGTCATCCATGTTTAATATTCGGTATCAATGTTTTCAGTTGACAAAAATGCCTTCCGATGATTATGTTACTTACGCTGGCAAAGTGAACAAAGAATGCGAAAGGTTCAAACCACATGAAATGACATCAGATCAGTTCAAGTGTTTGATTTTTATTTGTGGGTTGAAGAACCCTGAAGATACTGACATAAGAACTCGACTTCTGTCACTCGTGGAACAAGACCCAAAAATGACTTTACAAATGGTGACAGCAGAATGCCAACGCTTAATCAACTTGAAGCACGATACTGCTATGTTGGAGTGCAAACGACAGTCGTCTGAATTTGATTCAGTTAACACAGTGAAAAGTCCTCCGATCACCGTTAAGCACACAGCACGTCAGTCTCAGAATTCAGCTAAACCTCCTTCAGTGTGCTGGCACTGTGGTTCGTGGCATTTTGTCAAGTTCTGTCCTTTCAAGAAACATAAATGCCGTAATTGTCACCGTTTTGGACATAAAGAGGGTTACTGTCCACCACAGAAAAATTCTTCGGTGAAGAACAGAAGTAGTCGTTTCAAGCCGAAACAATCTCCTCGAATACAGACCATTTTCACAACTTCCAAAGTCGATTTAGCCAGCAAACGTAAGTACATTACACTACGTATTAACGGCAAATCTAGTCGTCTTCAGTTGGATACGGCATCAGATATCACCTTAATTTCCCGAACTACGTGGCGCAAACTTGGTTGCCCACAGATTCTGCCGACCGAGCATGTCGCTAAGAATGCCTCTGGAGATATACTGCAACTCGTGGGTGAGATAAATTGACAGGTTCAGTTTGGTGAGAATCAGTTCAATGGTGTATGTTACGTCACAAACTACCATGATCTGAATTTGCTTGGTCTTGACTGGTTAGACAAGCTCCATATCTTCAATGTACCGTTAAATTCAGTATGCTCTAATGTTTCGTCCTCACCAAAGAACGTTGTTCCCGGACATGTATCTGGTCAGTCTCTCTTGCAACGCCTGCGTGCTTATGCAAAACCGAAGGGGGAGGGAACAACAGAAGAAATTTTGGATAGATCCTTGCTACATTATCATCGTACGACGCCAAATCCTTCCACAGCCGAAAGCCCGGGACGCAGATCACAATCTATCCAGTACGCAAAAGTCAACTCGACAAAGAAGAGCACCAAAACCTTTTCAAATAGGTCCAAAAAGCAAGTCCTACACTTTTAACGGGGGGAGGTGATAGGATCCCACACACTTTGTTATTGTTCAATTATCTTAACGACTGTTAATCTCGCATATGTGGTATATCATCATTCCCACGCATTTTGTTATTGACTGTTACGACCAATTATTTCAAATACTGTTAGCTGTCTCTATTGGTTGTAAAATTGTATAAATACCATTTCCTAAATAAGTTTATTTTTCGTCGTCGTTGTAGTCGTCGTAGTCGTAGTTGTTGTACTACAATACACAGTCAGAGACCAGACTTTGTCTTTTGATATTTACGTGGTTCGCTGAGTCGGAAGGTACCAGAAGCAGATAGGCATATTAGTCAGGCGCAGACAGAACTAGGCGACAACGTACCTCATTTTAATTCCCGCTACAGTTACAACAAATTGGCGACGCGGTTTATCTCAATTCATTACGGTTATAACAAAAACATTGCATCAATGATCAACAGAAGGCTGAGTACATCACTAGCCATAGCCTATCCTGCAGCTAAGCTCGTTCCCGCCTATTGAACAACTCACTCTTTGGTGCAAACAAAAATCGATAGATATCCTTCTCATGTTAAATCCAACTGCATATATAAATTTACATGCATCTGTGGGAGCGGTTACATTGGAAGGACAGAAAGAAGGGCATATCTACGATTTTCTGAACATGTACTAAAAAGCTTACGTCTAATGGGGAACAAATGCTTTAAACAGTGCCATCGCCAGGCATCTCCTCGAAACGAGTCATGAGGTGGACGTCGAAAAGTCGTTCAAAATTATCACTAGGCAAAAGAGCTCAATTCTCCTTAAGTTTGCCGAAGCAATCTCCATCAAGCGCCTGAAACCTGATTTATGCGTCCAGAAAGAGGCAGTTATCAGTCTTTCTTTGCTCTGGTAACTGGATGTGAAATGCTGAAAAGTTTCCATTGTGTATGATTATTATTGTTCGAAATAGTGTTTAGTATTACCTATTTATATGTATATATTACTATTGTATGCATATATTGATCGATTGATTTTTGTTTGAAAATGAGCTCTGTGCAAGTATGTTAAAATTGTGTTTGTAGATATATTTAATAATGTCATTGCCCTGTAAGCAGCCAACGAGAAGGCAACGAAATAAAAGATGGTACCACTTTATTCTGCTAAAACTGTAGAAGTAGAAATATTGATGATGAGTTTATCTAAGGAAGCTTTGATTTGGTAAACTGGCGCTTATGTAACAGATGATGATTGAAAGTGAAATGAGCGTTTGAGTTATCACAGGACTCGAACTAGTGACCACCAAATGAAATAGTCTGGCATATTGACAACTGAGTTGTAAGATCATACAGCTATACAGGTTATTCTTTTCTACTATTATAAATAGCAAGTGAATCAAGAGGGTAACCTTTGTATTAGTGGATGCAATGTCATTTAAGCAGTTACATCATTAATAACTCAGGTGGAGAATTTCTTGGTTCATGGATCCTTATGATTATGTCATGTCATTATATATTATTGAAGAAACACTTCTATCACCATTTACATTCAATACGTTTTGAGCAAAGAGTGTTTATCCTAATTAACTACTTTAACTTGCTTTTTAAGTTCTTGGATTCTTATAGTTAACTATCATGGTTAACATTAATTAATTCATGAAATAAAGTATAGTCAAGGTAGGAATACTGATGAATCAACTGAAATTACTGTGTCCTGAAACAACTATGAAGGCAAATAGAACGACAGCATTTACCACAGGCTTCTTTATACAAGATTTATTATTTATAGGAGATTTCAAGAATCAAACCTTGATAAATTACAGAACGGAGACAGACAATCGAAATCATTGTTTATTTACTTTATCAACTGATTCTTAGCCGCAATAAGTAAATCATTCGCGTTTTAAGGAACTTGAGATATCATCTTGCATGCGTTCATCCATTCGGTTAGTGTCAATGATTTTCAACCTTAATTTTGCCTTAATTTTGTATTTCTTGTTGATTATTTATGTCAAACCAAAATGTTCTATCTTCGTTGACATGTCGGGTCCTAATACTAGCAGTTCAGCGTTATCAAAGGAGTACTGTTAATTCATTTGGGTTAATGGTGAATCACAGTGGAATCCAAGATGTGTATTTCGTCCTATTCAGGACTTTTCAACTGGATGTATCTGCATTCCCAGTGAGTGGTAATGTTTCCACTGAAAATGAACCCTACACCCGTTGTTTGAAATGTCAGAGTATTATCCACAAGGCGTCGAGGGTTAATTGTTCCAATATTGCTTTTTAGCTTGAAACGGATCATATGTTTTGATTTGGTATTTTCCATTTCCAGACAAATGTCTGCTGAGGTTTCATTTATGTACACTGTGGAAAATAAAGATGACTTTCGTATTATCATTTCCCGCAAGTAGCTGGTCAGAAGTGCAGTTGGTTGGAACGACTGAGATGAAAGAGCCAGATCGATTCAAGTGCATAATCAGTGGTTACGGTAACAACAAAAGAGCTATATGATCGCCTAGAGCTTTGATCACCTTGATCTCTTTCTCACACGTCATATCAATCAATAATGCATATATTATTAATGTCTTTTTTGTGTTTGATATATAGATTGAAATATTTTACTTTTCTACTCATTTTGTTTTGTATTTAAGGCTTTGAGAACGAATCGTACACTGCTCACCTTATCACTAAGTAATAATAAGATTGGAGATATTGGGTGTATTGCATTAGCAAAGGTAATTATTTTATTCTTTATATTCCAAATGAATATTATCACTGTATAATTCTTCCTCTAACAAGTAGCAATATTACTTTTACCTCAGTTGTCTAAATGCTACCCAAATGAGCACACTTAATCCAAAATATAATTCATTGAAGCAATTCAAATGAGAGATCTTTAGGGGTGATTTTCTTTTATTTTGTAGGAGTATAAATTCTTGCGTTTTACACAGTTTACAGATATTTTACTAAAATATTTGAGAAGAATCAGCTGTATGGAGTTTTATTTATTTTTGTGATGAAGTGCTGTGAAATTTAAACGCCACCTTAAGTCAATATATGTGTAAGAATTGGGCACTAGATATATTCTACAGTGAAACAGTATTATTTACTGGATGACAAAGTTTCGAACACAATTTATTGTTCAAACTGAACCAATTACAACTTCACAATTTCAAAACTTTCGTTTTATAGTTTTTTTTATTCCTTTCTATTCGTCGCAGGGATGGTAGGATTTTCTAGATGTCCAGGACAAGTATCGAATCATTTCTGCTATACGTATTTGCAGCTGATTCGATAAATGAAGCTTGCGTTGTTAATCCACCCTCCACCCAATTATATTGGATGTTACAACAGTCATCTTATCCCATCCTATTGTAAAGTTGTGAGTAATTCCATGCAATGCTATAGCTGAACTATCCTCCGGATTCATTATCCTATTAGGGTAAACTAATCGAGATTTTGCTAGGTTTTTGTGCTCTACTAGTCTGACTGACCCCGTTCTTCTACTTTGACCTATGTATCTGACCTGACAATCATTCCAGCAGGGTATTAGATAAACTAAATTGTTTTGTTTAATTGGCTCCACAAGATCGTCTAGCCAACAAAGCTTGTTTCTAATTCAGTTGATAGGTTTGAATACCAATTTTATTCCTGAATTGTTAAGAATTCCCCAAAAGGTTTCCGAGGTTCCTTCTTTGTATGGAAGTACTAATAGTCATTTAAATTTCCTATTGTTAGTGTTGTCATTATCCTATGCATGCTCGTTACGAATTTCGTCATTATTATTATTACTCTTGTGACAACACCAACAATAAGGAACTTAAATTAGCAGTAGTACTTCAATACAAAGAAAGGACCTCGGAAGACTTGCGTGGAATTCTTAACAATGTATTAAACATATTTTGCTGTTATTTGACTAGTTGTCCCATATTAATTACAATCCACCACAGTAGTAAGTCTCATAGCTTGATAAATGCAAAATAATAGAAAACAAGACATTCAGCATTTATTAATAAACATTTCGAAAGTGAGTTTTGTCAAGAACCGATATTAGTCAGAGAACCACCGAAAACTGTAGGTTATTGGATAATTATTTCGTTCTAGCTGGAGATTACTCAGCAGTACGTATCCATGACCTCATCAGGGATGGAACTCACAGGCTTCGTGTTACCAGGGTAACACGTTACCACTTGGTCACTAGGATGGAATCAAATGGTTCATGAACTCTTACTTCTTTCAGTTCTCTAAGTAACATAGGTTTGTGATCAAATCATACTCAAAATCAATAACACCTCTGTAAACTGACACTTGCATATATATTATTTGCCAATGTTCACCAGCTAATCAACTTATTATTCTTTCACTAGACCCATTATTTGATTATTTCAGTTTGTTCCCTTAAGTTCCGAGAGGAAAACAGGGCTTTAAGCTTGAGGCCTTGGTGTTTTAGTAGAAGTGGTGCTTTCCATGCAGTGGGGTTGTTAGCCTCGCGTCCAGTCTTCGTTGTATACAAAACCTACTACGGGCTGTTTGAAGGAGTGTGTCGACTGGGAATCGAACCCTGAATCTAAGTAGAAAACATGCTTGATAAGCTGATGATATTAAGCCCTTAATTGTTCACTTGAGCAATAAGTCATGAAAGGCTTTTTAAGACAAATGGTGAAAGCTAAACAGATTAATCTGTTCTTCGTTCTTCACCTGTTTAGTTATCAAAATTAATTTTACCAAGATAAATGCTTTAGGCTTGAGAAATACTATTATTATACTAAAAAACAAATAGAATAATAAACAACTGTTTACACTTTAGATAATAAGTATACTACATACGAATTTTATCTACTTTAATAAGGATGTAGTCCTTATACTTCATTACTTTATTCTATTCCGTTTGCCATCCAAGTAGAAAGCCGGTCGTCAAGGCATGAAGTTTCAGTAGCACTGGTGCTGATTTTCAGAGTAGTGTTGCTAGCCTCACCCCTTAAAAGTTCTTTCGTTTCTAAGTTTACTATCGGCTATTGAACCATCCGAGGTTTAGGAATGCAGGAATCGAACATACACCTCCCGAATGAGTGGATGGCTACCATTGTACCACTGAACCACCTATGGATTGAGTTGAATTTATGTTACGTTAAATATCACTTATTTGTTCCTTATATTTATGTTCTGAGCTGTATAATACATTGACTTTTCAGTTTCGGTATTCACTTAGTTGTCATTTTATGTGAAGATGCTTTTCATTGTGAGTAAGAGTATAAGAGTAGTAGGGATGGTAACTTGATTGTTAAATACTAACTAATGCTCAGTTTGATTGGTATCAAAATATGATTGATTCATCAGTGTTTGTTATTCGGAATAAGATATTCATCATCACTGAATACTTACCAGTAATATTTAATGTTGTTTTGAAAATGTCAAAAAAATAGTGCCAATGACTTTCATTCTATGAGTATTGAGGAAAGAAATTATAATTTTCCTATCGAAATAAATATCAGAAACAGGGATCTCTGGGAGCAAGCCAACCCAGCAGGAACCAATTGTGCAACAAATATGCAGGAAGAAATACAAGTGGATTGGCCATACTCTGAGAAAACAAACCATCAGCTGGGTGATATCACACGGCAGGCTCTCTCTTGAGCGGGATCCGAATGGGAAGCGGCGAGTGCTAGGGTGACATGGAGAAGGTAATGTGAAGAGGAGATGAAAGCATGTAGGTAGATGTGGAGCCAGATGAAAGCGATGGCGAAGAACCGGATGGAAAGGAAACGATAATAATAGTAATATAATATCAAAATAAAGCACAATTAGTATTAATTATTTATTTTTATCACTTAGAAGTAAAACTCTTGATTAATTTGATATTTCTTCATGTGGTTTTGAAGACTTTCTGAACACTAGTCTTTACTGTTCCACTCAACGCACACATACACACACACTGTTCACATTGTGCACTAGTGGAAAAAGAACAATCATTTTAACATTTTATGAATATTTAAAACGTTTGCTGTACAGACGAGAGCAGTTGAAATCCTAACAGTAAATGAATAAATAAATAAGTGTTTGGATTATACGGACTTGAAGTTGGATATCATTACGAATCTACATCATTTGGAGAAGAATTAAAATTCATCAGTTTCGTCTTAGGTTTCAATGGTTCTTCAACTATTGGAGGTTCCCAGTGAAATGCAGTTTGACGTCAATAAAATCCCGAGGAATCAACACTTGGAAGGCAACCTACTGCTCATTAACAGGTGACTACAAATCACGTTTCCTGGAGTTCTAATGGTAACTGGTCACTGGTCGAGCTCACCATATGGGTGTGATGATAGATACTCACCGATGAAGTTAGATGGCGGTGGGGCTACCTATTACTGAGCGGGACTTCATGAATCATTGAATTTTTTCCGAGTAACTGAGTGACAGTGTGCTTACTTCATATTCTGGGTTCAATTCCATATGGGACCATGGGTGCGAGCTTCTGAAGAGTCCCAAAGAAGGATGCAAAAGCAGTCCAGTACTCAATGGTTTTCTGTGTTATGTTACTTCAGGGTTTAATCTAACCTGAAATAAGGAAATAATCGAGGATAACTCCTTTTTCTAAAGAAAGGGGAAGAAAACAGAATTGCATTTGTGCAGAAATAGCATCGTTTTGGTAATGAGATTCGATTACACATATACATACATATAATCTGACATAAATTAGCACTGATACTTGTCGATAGATTCCATTCAACATCACAATAAATAAAAGTCAACAAAAGACAGTAAACAAAATGCAAATACTTATGTCAAAAGTCATTTCAAAATATTTAAGAAAATAAGGGAAAATAGAAAATGCAAATGTATTCGGTTGAAACTTCTCAGGTCTTACACATCTATAAATATACAAAATGAATACATTTGTTCCTATGCAAATAATGATATAATAAGAATGTACAGACACTTTCCTGAAATTTGACACATTAGTCGGATGCATATATATATATCACAGTGATTACAAACCCACTATAAGCAACTATAACTATAACTAATTACTGACGATTGAAGTGACTGGATTTCCAATGTACGGTAGTTCAAGTTGCCACTCTACATGAACTATAAATGAAGGCGGAAAAGCGGAATGCAGAGAAACTATGAAAAATGAAAGTGTATCAGGGAAGAAAAAACAATTACTAGGAGAATGGTGAGCACTTATTTAATGAATCTGCGTCAGTCAGAACGATTTTATACCATGTAATCAACAGTCACAAGGCATAAGGTTTTAGAGCTTCGTAGACCCTTGCCAGACAGTCTACATCCCTCTAGGTGGCTCAGATCAACAGCCAAATACTTCAGGGATCTACGCTATGTTTTGGTCAGACCACCTGTCACGCCTTCCCAATCTAACACGTATCCTACTCATTCCAATTTATGCAGCTTCACGACCTCATCGATTGACTTTCCCTCCTTATTTGACACCCAACGCCTGATCTCAGTATTAATCGCCATTTTTCACCACCTAACACTAGAGACAGTACGTAGATCGTATCTTCCAATTTAAACAGTTATATCTGATGCCTGTAAACAACGACAAGGCGAGCTGCTGCTCAGCTTACACATCCTTTGATGAATAACCGGATGCCTCTCCCACCCGGAAGATAACGCAAGTTGGCTTCTCGTATCCATGCTGAGATTTCCCTGGCAATCAGTCTACTGAGGCTTATGCAACTTCCCAGGTAAGGGAAGCAGTCAAAAAACTCTATCACGTCAGTAGATGCATCTTACATAACTACTTGAGAAAAACCGGTGAATATTTTAAAGAAATTTTACGTTTATATTACTTGATTTCTTTTTATGCCCTGGTAACTCATCTAAAGTGATTATTTATCATTATTATTTATTCTTCTTTTGGGTCCCTAGTGGAACATAGGGCTTCAACTACACGTCTCCACTTGCTTCTGTCTTCTGCTATACTTTTCACCTGCATCCATGTTAATCCATACTGTTTCATTTCCTCTTCACACGATCTCCTCCATGTCACCCTTGCACCGACGTCCCACTCGCCGCTTCCCTTTCGGGTTCCACTCGAGCACTGGCCTGACGCGTGATGTCACCCAGTGGCCTCTTCAGCGAGTGTCTAAACCATTTCCACTTTCTCCTGCATATTTGTTGGGCGATTGGTTCTTGTTTTGTTTGTTCCCATAGTTTCTTGTTGGTGATTCTCTCCGGCGGCCATCTGATCTTGAGTATAGAACGAAGACAGCTGTTGATAAAGGTCTGCAACAGGCTGTTGGAAATATTCTTTGTGATTACATCATCTTTTTTTTACATGGTAATGTTAGCTTTTTTACCCTTACCTAGTTACATCGCCATTAATTAAGCTTCATGCCTCATATGTCTAACATCGAAGTAAATGAGCTTAACCCACAACGGTTTTTCATATCTCAATAGTTTTTTTTATTAAGTAGGGGATTTATTTCAGCATCAGTATCTAAACAGAAGTCTACCTTAGGCGCAGAACTATGTGTTGCATTTATTCCTAGAATGGATTCTTTGCTATTTGGCTAAAGACAAAAATATAGTGTTAATGCATAAATTATAATGAAAGATTGAATTTGTATTAATTGATGGTACAAATTTGTCCTTCCAAAAGATTTAAGTCTCATTTTTCTATACTTTCCTTTCTAGGTCATTTCACAGTTTTTCCTAACTCATGAAGAGATTGTCTATCGAAGATTATGTTATTCCGAAAAAGCTAAATCTGAATCCATTCCTTCAAATTCTGTAAGTTTATAATTAGAAAAAAAAAAATGAAATGATGAATTTTTGAAGAAAAACTTAATATTTCATCTGTAACCAATTTTTGTTACTGATTTCAGTTAGTTATAGTAGCTAACTGTAGGAGTGTATACCTTGTCGTTAATTTAAATTTGAAACAAAATTTGACAGCATGAGTATTGGATCTTCATCCTTTTCATGAAAAAAATACTTTAAACTGTACGGCTGACTTGCAATATTTACGTTTTTTTTCAGAATAGTCACATTTTTTTACGCGTGTAGTTTAAAAATGATGTTCTCTCAATCCCTAATCAATAATTCATCAGAACTTAGGGAAGAAAGTAGAACGATATACATTCAGTTAGTGGAAGCCATGCGAATGAGTTGTTCAAAATGTTGTTATTCGACATTTCAAGCTTAGGAAATCGTCAAAGAGTTTGTAAAAGGAGTTAACAGTGTCAATAGAGACTGAATATTTAGGTCCAATAAGATCAGTCACCGGGAAATTCAGTAATAAAAATAATCTCAAAAAATAGGAACTGATATCTGTTGCATAAATGGTGACTGTAGTGGCCCAGTGTACAAGTGAAAAACTCTATTCTGTCTGAAAAAAGGGTTCTTATTTTGCGTTTTGACGGGATAACTGTCACCTCTTGGATAAGCAGGCGCATCTAGAAGACAAGTCCCGAAGAGGATGAAAGGAATGTTGTGGATTTCATCACAACTTTATTAACTGAAGTAATAATAAACTGTGAAAATAACTATGAGTACGTAAACGATAATGTAACTCAATTTTCCGAGGTTTCCAGATGTTGCTTTAAAAAATAATATGGGAACATGAGTTGACTGGCTAGAGGCTCTCAATATGTCAGAAATGAATGGCTAAATAATGACAAGGATATGATCCATAATCGGTCAGAATTAATCGGAAGAATTCATTACTTATTCATCTATAAAGCCTTCAACACTTTCTCTCTACCATTCGTCCTAATTTCTTTTTTCGTCGTAAGCCTTTAGAGTTTTTGAAAATTTGATTCTATTATTTTTATTTTCTTTCCGTATGTTCTTCTGAATATTTTGTGGTTTCATAAGACCATTTACTGTATTTCTGTACCATAGTTCTCTTCTGGAACTGTTAATTGTACCTACCATAACCGATTGCTTCTTCTTTGACGTTGTGGTTGAGCTTGTAGACCCCAATGACTCAGTAGGCTACGCCGGTTAGAAATGATCTTTCCACAGGCCGTAACATATCAGAAAGTTCATTTAAACGGCGGCTGGACTGAAGGTAATTACTATCATAGTGTAAGTTGTTTACCCTACGTTGACGAGTCTGTGGGCAAAGTCGTACTGTCGGCGAATAGAGATGCAAAAGCAGTAATCTGTTTCCCTTAAATAACCCCGAAAATTGTGCATCCCGACTTTCCTTTCGGAGGTCCGTAGCCTGCAGTAATATCTGAATAGGGACAAAACTTCAAAAACCACTTCAAACACGGCGCTCATGAACGACTTGAAGCAACTATCTCTTGAACTCTGTGATCACACAACACTAATATTTCTGTTTCATGTACACCGAGAAGAAATCAACTTCTGTGGTGTGAGCGGCTGGAAGCAGTAACTACCTACAAACTCCAATAAGTACAGTCATCACGAATTAACATCATTTATAGGTTCATTGAGAACCATGGAAGACTAAACAGATGTTTCTCCCTAGTTTAGGAATGTCAGCAGTTCTAACTCCTTACGCCATCAAGGATAGAAATGAGTCGGTGGCACTGTAGTTAGGACTCTCGCCGACCATGCACATGGTCCGGCGTTCTGTCCCCTGCCGACGCACACCTGATATCAATAGTCGGCCTGCAAAATTTGGGCTACCGATATCACATGCTGAAAATTCCATACTTGTACCAAAAGTACTGTATGGAATCAAGCTGTAATCAAAAAAATAAATAAAAATATAAAAAAATTAATGAGGAGAGCTCGTTGACCAATCAGTCACATAGACGGAATCCAACTGCTCTTGGATAGTATACAAAGGAACTACATTTCAAAAATACCAATGGAGCTATTGCGTCATGTTTCGGACTCTTCAACTTTCAAGAGCTAACTCAATTCCAGTGGATTTTTTTAAACAGAATTATGCAATTTTTGATTGGACACTAGCCAGTAACTAGTCTAATGTGTCTAGTCTTATCTTTGGTGCAGAATGAATTCTATCAGTCAAGTTTACAATGTGGCCACCATGCCACTAGGTGGCTCACCATCATGGTGCACTGTGAATTGTTGGTATCAGATGGTTGGAAGCAAGTGGCAGGAAACCTTCCACGTAAGTTTGATGCTAGTTGGCACTTGTCGGCAAGGCGTATCTGTGACCTTGAATCTCAGGAGGGACATGAGTTCCTTCAAGGTTGCAGATGCGCCTTGCCGACGATTGCCAACTAGCGCAAAACCAAGGTGCAAGGCTTACTGCCGATTGCCTTCAACCATCTAATACCAAGAATTATATAATACTGTTTGATTCTGAAGATTATCATAAGCCAATATAAAAAGTCAGGAAACTTCAGTAATAATCTGAAAATTAACCTAAAAACATTATTCATTTCCACAGGAAAATTTTTAATTGTCACTTTCTAAATGAACACAACAAAACCAAATCCTATGGAATTAAATAACTACTGTAAAAGTTTATTCAACGCTTGCCCACTTGTCTGTGAGATAGAAAAGTAAGAAGAGACTGACAAATTTAGTGAAGTTAAGTTTCTTTCAATAAATAGAAAGTTAGTGTTATGAAATATGGGAGTACTGAACAGATGTTCGATAAAATTTCTTCAAATCATGCTTCTAAAAAAGACGTTTAGGATAAATTAAAAAAAATAAAATACAGTATAGATGAACTGGTAATATTATACAAGAAAATATAAAAATGTTATGGTGATAACCACCTCTTTCTGATGAATAGCATCCTAAGTTGTTTCGGTAATTTAACAGCTGTCGTTTTCAAAAAGCAGCTGATACTAATTCTCAAAGCAGGATGATATCATAGTACTCCATTTCAGTATAAGGTAGTGTTATGTACATTCCGGATGGTGAAAAGCCAACATACGTTTGCTTACATAGGTGTGTTAACATGTGCCTGCATTGTTTCTTGTGAGTAAAACGTCAAACATTGATTTTATTCGTTTATCTTGTCATTAGTAGCTCTTTTGCAAAGTAATCCAAATAATTCTGGACATAGACCTGACACGGAGTCGTCTAGTGTTAACTATTAAGTATTTATTATTGGGCTGTAAAACATGTACATGGGCATTATTCTTCCTTTATTCTTCACTATGTTTTCCAACCATCAGTGCTAGCTGAAATATGATCATAATAAAGAAGATTTGTAGCTCAGGTGGATGATTTGCAATTAATAGTGTTCTCTGAGCTGGTAAGTTCGGTTGCGGAGCTTTCGTCGTCCTTCTGGACAACATCCCCCTTCAGCGCAATATTTAGCATAAAGTGAAATGATTTAAATTTCTTCATGAGTGATATAATTGCGTCTCCTGGTAACCATCTTTACATATGTATTGGCCATTTTCTATTGACTTGGATTTTAAACTTTCTGGTCACCTGATTTACTTTCTATTAGTTGGTATATTTCGTCTATGTTAACGTGTTTGTTAATTGCATTTTCGTTTGAGTACCAGGCTTCTAGGAATTCCCTGGCACTTTTGGTGTTTCCTCTGTCTAAGATTTAGACATTATCCCAGTCCAACTGATGTCCATAATTGTCTATATGCATTGATACTAAAGAGTATATATCGTGTCTTTTCACGGCTGATTTGTGTTCTTGGATTCTAATTCGAAGGGGACCAGCTCAGAGAACACTATTAATTGAAACATGGTTAGTTTTGTTAGGGAATAAGAAGTTATCAGATCACAACATGTTATCAATCTGAAAAGTTATCAAATGTTGGTCTGAGATAGCTAAGAGGGCGTCACTTGAACATCTAGGGTCCTATAAACTCAAATTAAAATTCTTAGTAAGATAGCTAAAAATTATTCCAAATGGTGGGAGGTATTCTGCCTTTGTCATCTTTCAAATTCTAAAAAAACTTCTTCAACTATCTTTTCATGTCTGTATGTTGCATTCACCTTTGTTTATCAAGGTGCCATTCTCTTTCTGTTTCTCCACTCTGTGTATATTTTTACATGTGGTTATCTAAACTAATATCGGTTTACCTGGATTTCCAGCCAGCATAATGCATTAAGATGTCCCAAGTTTTCCGTTGTTTTAATCATTCATTTGTGTTATTGGGCAGCAAAATGTACTAATGAGCATTTTTAGTGAGCTTTCAACCTATTGTTGAGGATTTTTCTAAAAAGACTAGGGAAGAAATATCATAAACGATTAGTTTTGCTTCAGACAGAACGGTACCGGGTCTCTTGATATACTACTGATTACAGTTTAATTGGAGGTTCTGAATGAAGAGTAAATATTGTGCAATAATACAAGCTGAGGTTTATCTACAATGTGGAAACATTTTGTCCAGAATAAAAACCGTTATTAGAATTCTTATCGATACACTTCCGCATAAAAATATACTTCGATAATTCACTCAGTCATTCTTGAGGACTTCTGGTAAAATATCTCAGTATGGATTAAATTAGCTCAAGTGTACTTACTGCTAATTAAATTCAAAATTGTAAGTAATTCAAGATTACTAACTTATTTTCACTTTTCCTTTCAAACACACATTTTAATTTTCCCACTGCACAGTTTCGTTGTAAAGTAAGTAGGCTTGAAACACTATTTATTTGTCTCAGATTCTGTATTATTTCCTCATGAGTATAAGACCGACGCTTAAAAATATATAGAACACTGTGGAAAATACGTTTGCATTCAAGTGTAAGCTGAATTAAGTTTATTTGTACAGTTTAGCCGTATATTTTTTCTCTTTGTACTGAGTCACATTTGGTAGAGACAATTACTAGATTTACTGGAAATAGGAATGTTACTCAACATT